TTGGCATCCTCGTCAAATCGAATTTGACCATGAACATTGATTCATTTGAGTAACTAACAACCCATATCGGACGATTACGGTTGAAACGATGTGGTTCAATGCCGGGTTTGACCACCTTCGTTGCTTATGCATCAACATCAAGCTATGACGAAGACGAAGTCGAAGCGTTCTATATGGGCCTAAAAAAATCCTTCAGAGAAGATCATACATTTTTCAAGGTCTTTATTGGACATTTTAACGCGAAATTTGGCCTAAAAGAACGTCTGAAGAACGTCACATTAGGAACCACGCACTATAATGAAATGAAGAGAGTAAGAGGCTATGAGTTGATTATGATGACCCAAGCCATCCATGGTAGCTCACAGTTCTGAAAGCCTCACTCTCAACGATGGACGTGGGAGTCTCCCAATGATAGACCACATCCTAGTAGATCGAAGATTTTGCCTGACCGATGCCGTTGTTGATCTAATGTTCTACACGGTGATCACACCATCACCTCCTTCGCGCAACGTTGCGTTTTTCGCGGAAAGGAGCCGCTAAATTCAAACAACGAAGTTCCAGAATCACCATAAATGGGGACGTTTTCAAATCATCAGTCGGCTGTTGGGAAGACATCGTTGTCGACAACATCGACAAAGAATACGACCGGCTCGTTGAATATCTTCACGCTAGCGTCATGAAGGCCGATAGTCCTAAAGTCACGAAGAGACGCTTGTCTTCGCAGACACTCGAGCTGATACGTCAACGTGGATTTGCACGGGCTGCATGCAACCGAAACCTTACGTTCAAACTTGCGAAACGCTGCAGAGAAGCGATAAAAGAAGACCTTAAAGAGAGAAGAGCAGCAGTTATGGCAGAAGCTGTAGAAGCTAAGAAGAGCATTCGCAAAGCCAAGCGAGGCTTCGCCAACTATAAAACCAAGATGATTGCACTCCGATACCTTGACGGGACACTTACAGCTTCGAGAAGGGCTATGGAGAAAATCATCCACCAGTACTACTCGGATCTCTTCGCTAGCCATGTCCTCTTACCGTCATATAAATTGAAAGGGGATGCATCTGTTGTTCCAGCGGTCCCCTCCCGAGATCCAACATGCCATATCTTCGGTGAAAAACAGAACAACATCCGCTCCAGACAGGATTAGACTAAAATACCTGAAGAACCTATCGCCAGCTCACATCAATACCCTGGCTCGGCTCTTCACTCGCCACTTGTTAGAATGCAAAGTTTTCAATCAATGGAAAACCAAGGAAGACCGTGTTGTTGTTTAAGAAGGGAGACCTTCACGACATAGGCAATCACCGCCCAACCTGCTTGCTGTCCATTTCTATAAACTCTTCACTCGAGTCATCCTAAAGAGGATTGACCGAACACCGGACGAAGGATAGTCATGCGAACAGGCAGGGTTCCAGGAAACGATTTAGTACCATTGATCACATTCACACGATCACAAGTTTCAATGTACTTTCACGAGAGTACGAACTACCGCTCTATCCCACTTTCATCTATGCGAAGAAAGCCTTTGATTTAGTGGAAACAGAAGCGCTATCATTCGTGAGCTATACAAAGATTTCACGTCCAAAATATCGCCATCTGCAACAATATTACCATCGACGTAAGAATAGGGGTTTGACAAGGTGAACAATCTTGCCAAAATTATTCACTGCCACCCTCCAAAACGTCATGCAAAGATTAGAATGGGACGATATGGGAGTGAAAATTGACGGCAGACAGTTGAACTGTCATCGCTTTGCTGATGATATGGTCCTCGTGACACCAAACGCCAGCCAAGCGGAGCGAATGTTGGCTCATTTCGACAGCGTCTGTGGGAAGATTGGTCTTCAACTAAATCTAACGAAAACGATGTTCAATAGGAACGGATGGGTTCTAAATGCTGCATTCACGCTCAACGTGACGAACATCTCCGAATGCTCCAGTCACGTCTATCGATGTCGTAAAATCGACATGATGAACAACCTAGCTCCAAAGTTGGAGGAAACGAGCGGCTTGAGCAACGTTTAAGGGCATCGAAGATGTAGTGAAGAGGACAAAGAACGTGCGCCTAACATATTCAGTAGAAACCTGGCCGCTACGCAAGCAGGAAGAAATATCACTTGGAGTTATCGAAAGCGCAGTCGAAAGATCGATACTAGAATTATCCCATTTCTCGCAAATGAGAGAAAAGATCCGAGGTTCCGACCTATGTTAACAATCGAATATCAAAGATGCCCTTCTAGACGCCAGGATATCGAAAAGTGGGCCGGACAAGTGATGTGTTTCAACGACATCCGATGGATCGAGGGCCGTTAGCGACTGAACTCGGGATATCAAGCGCTTTACAGGAAGACCACCGACCCGATGGTGCAATTTCTTTACGAAACGACTTGAAGAAAGATATATTGCCCAACTAATCCCTTGAGTGAGGAGGACCCACTGGGCTACTCTTGCGTGCAAAAGGAAAAAATGGAAGTGCTGCTGATGCCCGCTTGAGTCATTCGACGGTTAACAGAACGGCAGATGATACTTAGAAGCCATTTTCAACCTGTCGGAGGATACTGTTAATTACTCATATTATTTCACATACATTAAAAGCATATATACATACAATTACATGAAAAATGTTACTAGTATATTGTTCAACAATGTTCTTGCTCCACAGTTGACTAAAAAACGTTTTATATGTCGTTACATATGAGTACCTACACGCTTTTAGAGCACTCGTATGGAAAGAGTCATGGTGACTGCATCATCTGCCTCAGTCTGCTACTAAAGCTTAAAATTTTTCAAACTCTCCTGCTTAATCTTATCCAGAAATCCAACTTAATCTCATGTGTATTTATTTACAGTCGTGCAATATAAATTTGTTAAAGTATTTTTTTAATGTCTCTGTATAACTGCCACTGACCGTTTGTGGTCCACTATTCGGAAAAATTGGTCCCATAGTTGTTTGCAAGGACAGCAAAACTGGCTTGATACATCACGGCAATCTGTATATACGCCAGCTTCCGATCATCCTTCTAGATACTTGATGAAATCAAATCCATGGTGCAACACTAAAGGTTCAGTCTCACGCCAAACGCCTTCGATTTATTAATTTTTTGTCAAAGATTACTAATTCACTAACGTCGTTATTACGTCACTTTAATAAGGGTTCGATTTTCAATTCTCAGCTTACGTTACTACAGCTGCAAAATCTTACGCAGAAGATCAAGAGAAAGCAATCTTCCACCATTTAAATTGCAGTATGCGAATTAGCCAGCGCAGTATGTGAATTTTACTGCGCAGGTATGGACTAACTTCTTCTCTTTCAAAATTTTACTTCAAGTCGTTTGCAGGTGGCTTTCACTGCTCACCACCTTGGAAGTACTGCAGTCCTTTCTGAGCTTTTTCTTCTCAATAGATTCGAACGGAGGGCAAGCGTGTTATTGATCGGGTTTTTGTTCTATGATTAAAATAGGGTCTCTTTATTTCATGCACCAATTCTAAATGACCTCATTTATACGTACTATGTAATTCACATCAAACCTGCACCAGACTCAAATCCTCGCATCGGTTGCCCACGGATGTCTTCTATATTTGCATACAAGTTTGTCTACTGTTTGAAGGTTTCCATCTTCGTTACGAATGTCGTTGAATGCTGGATGACTATTCTCCCTGCAGTCGTGGAATCGCCGTATTAGGGTGTCTCAAAAATATGAAGGAATACGGTGATCGTAGATAGGTGTAGTACGAATATCCAAACTCCGGAAAAATGAGAGGTCACTGCGAACACGGTGCTGAATCAACATGCATAGAGTTTACGGATACAATGTGACAATGTGCTTAATCTTAGCATCAGTAACACATTTTCCCTTTCTTTCACATTTGTCGGCATTTCCTCTTCTGGCCATGACATCTTTGACAAAAGATTCATAGAGTTCCTTTTCGTTGAATTTTATCAATATATATTGCTGCGTTATAACTCTGATCATGTACAGGCACAGATCGCTTTTCTCAGTATTTTCATAGCTGAGATTTGCATATGCAATGGAATAGTTGAACAAGGTTCTCACCTCAAAGATGGACAGTCGTTGTGGCAAAGTTGAATGTTTGATTTATTTTATCATACCAATATTAGTTTGAATATCTAAAGCAAGAGTATTTCATATGTTCATTGCAAAATCAGGACTTTCACGTAGTCACGATCGGCCGCTAGACTGATCTCAAGGTAAATCGCGGCAGGCCGGAGGACCACACAGCATCCCGTTGTGGATCCGTTGTGGATTCTTACGAACCCTCTCAAGTGATTCTCCTGTGATTTCAAGGTAAATCACACTAAACTAGCAGTCAACTTAACGGTGATAAAAGGCGGCACAAGATTGAAATCATCGGGTCACACCAAATTCTTCGCATTTATGACTGCTGCAGAGCAACGAATGCGACAGGATTTTGCAACAAAACGCACATTTAGGCTTCTCAAAAGTATCACCTGTCGTCCCGTTAATCGTCGAATGACTCGAGCGGGTACCAGCAACACTTCCATTTTTCTCTATTGCGCGCAAGAGTAGCCCAGTGAGTACTCCTCGCTCTAGAGATTCGCTGAGCATCATATCTTTCTTCTATGCTCTTCGTAAAAAAGCAGACCATCAGGTCGGTGGTCTTTCTGTAAAGCGCTTGATATTTCCAGGAATCCAGTCGTGACGGCTCTCGTCCATCGATTGTCGTTGAAGTTCATCACGTGTCCGGCCTACCTTATTTTCGATATCCTGGCGTGTAGAACGGCTACACGCCTCAAACATATAAGCACAAAGATAATAACAAAAAACTGTCTTTGCTTTCTTCTCTCCTTCTGTGCTACCCCTTTGTGTGTGGTTCAAGGGAAATATGGTGAATTGAAGCTCGGCCCTTCTCCTTGGAAGCTATCAATTTTCCGAATTTCCAGTACTTTTAATGCTTTTTTCGCACTGTTATGATGTTAATACACATATGCCTAGAAGAATTGAGTGATGAGCAAGTAGCACGGCCTTAGGAGGGAATCTAACCCGCGTTCCATCAATACCGGAGACGCGTGCTACACCGCTACACCACCGAGGCACACTTGCGCCACCACTCATTCTTCAACATCTCTATGTTACTTATCAGCTACCAATCTTTAGACAGGTTTGGTCGGGTATGCGATTTCGTTTTATAAATCTCGGTGTACCTCGGTGATGTAGTGGAAGTAGCACGCGCCCCTGGCATGGATAAAACGCGGGTTCATTTCCTACCTGAGGCAGTGTTTTTGCTCACTATTCAATTCTCTTAGCTATCGATTTTATGAAAAATGTGTCATAAAAAGATGTACAAGGGAAAGGATGATAAATCGCGTTGAAGTAAATGCATATCGCATCAGGTGTCACGTATGCTTAGAATCAATACCTGTCCTCATGAATGCGTTAGCAAACAAGCGTTAGTTCACCAGAAACTTTATCACTTAGAACTATACTCTCGACATAACACATCACAAAGTATAGCCGAGTAGCCCACGATCTCTGAGCACAAATGTGCAACACAGTCTAGTTTCGCTCAGAGTCCTTGAACTGAACCCGCCTATACACAGATAAGCTAGAAAATAGGTTGTGAGCAAATCCGTCGAATAGGCATTATAACAATTGAACAACTGTCGACAAAATTATTATATAGCTTGTTTAGTACAAAAACCGAGGACAAAAAAACGGGCATGAAAAACTGTGGCTGAAACCCAAGGTTGACAAAACATATTCGAGTCGCTGAATGATTGGTTGATTAGCTTGAATATAATGAAATATGAACGAGGAAGAAACTTCTAAACGTTTTCTGTTGAAACAGCATATAAAAGAAAGAATCAGAGAAGCAGACATTGTTTCCCGTCCTGTGTTAGCCATTCAGTCTCCTCTTTGAGCCAAAAATCGAATTTTTTATACGCGTACGGAAGCCTCCCTTGCTAGGTGCAGCTAAATTGAGAATATTTTGTTTAAGCTTAAGAAAAACCTCGCATTACACAAGAGGGACTACTCTTACGCTCTCTGGCTGGATTATTTGGTCCATCAATTACCATCTTCTTCCACGGCTCATTGCTCAGGCTGTTACTCTTCATGAGATTGCCCGATTTAACTGGTGTCTCATTTGCAACCTATAAGAACTTCTTTCAATCTGTTTCGTACATACAAATGCTATAACAAGTTTTTTTTCGTTATTGAGACCCATTTTTGTAAAAGTTTTGGTGGATATCAATTTTCCAGTAGAGTTTAAGTGATTGTTCGAGAGCTTAAACTTCAGTGATTTCACAGACATACTCGTTTTCTAAGAAAGCCTTCTTGCTACGCAGTAGTAGTGGAGATAAAATTAAGTTTCACATGTGGTGCACGATAACGGGTATATTTTCATTATCTATGAAATTTTCTTTTCGTTGCGTCAGAATTTTCAAGTATTTTGCATCAACTTGCAGAAAAATCCTTACTTTGCAAAATAAACCAGCTATTAACCCCTAATCTCATAAGTCTGGGTATGGGAAGCATTTGAACTTGTAAAGGAAAATTTGAAACATCGGAATTGTACATTTTATCCCGAGTTCCTTCAACAGTAGAGAAAAACTCTAAATAAAGTATCAAAAGTCGTGTACAACTCGTAAATCGCGCTCCGTGATCATTCATGTCATTTTGAAGAACAATAACATGACACGTAATCTTCCTATAGCTCTAATAGCGCTTTGTAATGACCCCGTTAAGAACAAATTTGGTTTCGGATTATCCGAGATTTGTACTATAGAATGAGCGTTTAATGTGATCAAAAGTCGTACATAGATTCTACTTGCAGACAAAGCACTCTGAGCACTCCGAGTGTGAAACTAACTTTTATTTTCACCTCGAAAACACCCTGTGGAAGCTTTTTTGAAAACAAAATTATGATACTGGAATTCTCAAGATTTAAGCTATAGAGTGATTACCATGAGTTTGAGGGAAATTTGGAAACGCCTTTGTACTCTGAGGGCAAAAGAATGGGTGCCGATAATAAAGAAAATTGTAACAAGAAGATTGCAGAAAATAGATTATTATTTAGAGAAGCGAAACCTTATTGAGAGAAACTAGGCTGGCAGCGCTGCCTGGCGGTCGGCTTCCACCTCCGAATTTCCGTAAAAATGATCCAATCTTAGTGGGCTTCCAACCGGAAGGTGGTAATTGATGTGATGACAGCGACGTAACGTCCATCTCACTACTACGAGAAAATCGATGATCATCGAACTTAAAAGGGAAGCATTGCGACATCACCTTATACAATATACTTTCACTTTCATTTCGATAATAATACTAACCGTTACAATGTTGTCATAAAATCCATCATCTTCGTCGTCAGCGACTGATGCCGCTCGTGATGACACCGACTGATGGCCGACAATTGAACCACGCCGAGCAGCAATCTGAAATTACTACTATGCCTATTATAATCGCATACAGACAATCCTCTACACATTTTCTCATGTACAATGCCTTTATAGCTTGTCATGCACATTGAATAAACGCTCTGACCTGATTGTTTTGATATGCAGGAGCACTAATGCCAGAGCTATTCGAAGAATAATAACCGCCATTTTGAGACGAAGTTGCTGATCCTATAAAAATTCACAATCGTTTCTGATAAGCCACATTTCTGATTACAGCTAGAGTGGAAGAAATAGACTTCACTATTCGCCACATGGTTAAATAAGCACAACACAAGAGTATCGACCATCGTAAATGCTACAACAAAATCAAATACGCACCATTCCTTCCTGGAGGATGCGACGGTGGTTGAGTGGTGGGGTATGCAGGTGTGAATTCCGTCGCTGTGTAACTCTGAGGAGAGTGATGAACTGTGATACTCTGACGAGGAGGAGAGGTACGCTAAGCAACAGACGTAAAAAAGAATATAATCACTTCTTACAGAAAATTTAGCTTCTCGCAGACTTGACACAGCTTTTGAGTTCTGAGGGGCGGGTTACCCAGATAATGTCAATCATTTCGATTGAATATTTGAACAGAACTCTATGCATAGGTTCTTGTTATCTTACAAGTATATAACGTTTGACCTATCTTCCTCACCGTCACATTTTCATACAGTTCTTCTCACGATGGAACGTTATTCTATCACAAAACACTGACAATACCTTGTGATGTCGATTCGAGAACTCGCTAATTTCGTGATATGCATCTTCTTCTCTGAGTCTTACGGGATACGGCTGCGGATTCCACTTATAATGTACAGGTGCTGGAAAATCAAGAATTGTTATCTTGTTGCGATCTTGAGTTGGAGCAACTAGTGATATCTGCAAACAAACGAAACACCAAAATTGAACGTCAATTTGATAAAGCAGCTAGATGTTCGCTAGAACGAGTGGCATGCATTCATGCACGCAAGGGATAACCACAAGGTACGTAGTGCTCCGTTCACTGAAACGCCTGTTCAGTTCTGAACTGTCCTTTATTGCTTTTTTGTTTACAAAATTTAAGGAGCCACAACTGAAGAGCAAAGTGTAAGTTAAGGACAGTAGAAAGTAGTGGACTACTTAGAAGAATGATAAAATGATGAACTTAGTAGAAACACAGGACATCACAGCGCTACAGTGATTACTGAGTTTATCGCTCCTAGTTTGCATCCACTACGTTAAAGAACTACGAGACGTTAGATATAAAATATAGAACCACCCAGAACTGCATATACTAGCTATTTCGAACGAATGGATTCAAATCACTGTACATAAAGTAGGATACAGAGTGCTCTCAGTAACCTCATCTATAGATTGATTGGGGGTTAGCGCTCAAGTAGTCAAACGTCGATGATTGTTCGGTTTGAAGAACATACTCGTAAACGAAGAGGATAGACTTCATATGCACATATCAGAGTTCTGAAAGCGAACCAAGGCAGAAAAAAATACACTAATCTCTTTCAAATCATTCTAAATATGGCGAAAGTTTAGCAAGCTGTTCAATTCTGAACTGTCAAAAAACTCAAAATGAGTTAAGAGGAAACTCAAAAATGAGTTGCGATTTCTACATGAAAATAGGATCAGATTTACAGATCGTGTTGAAGCTCAACAATAGTATCTTTTTGGAGAAATATTACCGAAGTTTGAAAAAATTTCACAAAACGAGGTGAGATTTATAAGCCTTACTAAATTCACCTGCGCCTCAAATAAATGTTTCTGATGTGAACCAAATCCGAATTGGTGCGCAGTAAGCCAATGTCTGTTAACCTTGCCAAAAAATGGTCTCACCTGTATTTCTTTCGAACACGTTGTGCATAGCTTCTACACGACTGGGATTAATTTTTTCCTGATTAATCGTCTCAAACGGATTCGATTGGTTTGTGGAGTGAGGAGTAGCATACAAAGCGTGACCTGGAAAAGACCGACTGATACTTTGCAGTATTCCTTCCATCATTTTACTGATATTAATAAACGACATATAATCATCTGATATTTAATGGACCAAATATAATCGATAAAATCGGATCACAGGATCACATCTGAGAATGCAAAGATTGACTATTTGAAAGCACTTTTCATAGATTCTCATTGATCCGTCTTCACAGCATTTCTTTCACCGCACGGTATCCCGGTATTTCTAGCATTCTTCCTTCTCCTTATTGAACGTCGCAGAATAGTGGTTGAGCACGTCTCTTGTAATCTCGAGTATAGCCTGGCTGTGGTGTTCCATAAGGTGTTCGTGTTGACTGCCGAAAAGTGTTGGGAGCTACCTGTTTACCCCGCGCGCTCCGCGATGAGCATAACAACCACTGAGCCACGGCGCAGCATTTGAAAGCAAAGGTACTGTATATTCGTGACACATTGATGCCAATAGCTAACTTGTCGGTTTCGATTCAGTAACTTAACAGGACCATTTAATTCTTTGGGTACTACGGGCTCATACGCTAACTCTGCCCGCCGTCACGCGCTTCGGCTAGTAGACCGTAAAGCTGAGTGATCAGTGATACTCGCCATTAGAAAGGAGGTTTCTTTCTTCTCATTTTTTCTATTCTATCAAACCGTCATTACAATGTTCTTCTTTTTCACTGTGAGGATCGCAGTGCTTCTAGCATTC